GAGGAAGCGATTTTTTTCGCAATAGATGAGAAGAGAGAACGATGTTAACATTGTTAAAGTATGGTAATTTTTCTTATTTCAAAACGGTGCAGTTTTCAAACTTTAATAAATTTTTCTTATCTCGATACGGTATAATTTTTAAACTTTCTTTAAATTAATTGACGTGGTTTAACACAAGTAATAAATAAATTTTAAATGTCATGTATCAATACGTAAAAAAAAAAAATTTAAGATAAATTGAAAAAAAATTAACTTAGAGCATCTAGATCCTTTTGACGTGCTTTGTCGGTCCAACCATGAAATATATAAGTTACTATGTCTTACTGACATGCATTTTCCACGTAAATAGAGGTTTATATAAAATTGAGTCGTTATACACTTTTTAGTAGTTGCATCATTCAAAAGTGGTCCATAATCCCATGAAAATGGAAGGATTAATTAACTTACCCTAAAGCGAGTAGCCCCCACTGGAAATTTTTTCTATTCTATTTTTATGTTATTTTATAATTGTTTTGTCCCCACTAAAAATAATTTAGAAAATGTTTAGTCATGAGAGTTGAAATTTTCCAATTTCTATATTTTGTCAAATTTTCTCTTTTTCTTTCTAAAAATCTCTATGCCCCTCCTGCTCATGACTTAAATCAAGTTCATCTTTTAAAAAAGTATTGTAAGTTTGAAAATTTATATAATTAGTTAAAAATGTTATTTTATTTTATTATATTATTATTATTATGTTGTTCAGTAGTGCTTTTGCTATAGTGCTGAAACAATCAGAAGTATCAATTTTTTAATTTTATTTTCACCTCTTTTTTAGAAGTGTTTCAATACTATTCAAATTACAACAAATATTACCAAATACGTTTTCTACTTTTGCTTCAATACAGTACAACTAACAAGAAAAAAAAATACAAACACAACCCAAGTTTTAAGTAATAGTTTCTTCACTATGGGATATAACTTTGTCCAACAAGTAATTTTGATTTCACCACAAGGGATAAAGTCTTGTGAGTTATTTGTCGGCACAATAAAAATAAAAAATTTCTAATTTTGTCGCTAGATAAGAAATCTTCGAATTTTCAAATGAATATACACTCAGCAATATTACTCCTAGAGAGTTGTAACACTCAAAAAGGGGGATGTGAGATGGCCATTGGTATGATCTATAGTCATTGTTTCTCTTCTTTTTGTCACTGTTTGTGTGCATAAATGCATGTGAGGTTTGTCCTATGGAAGTTTGTTTTGAACTAACGCTAGAAAAAGTTGGATTAAGTTGTGTTTGGGCTGTGAACATGTTAAATGCATGTGCAACTAGGATTGTAAAAATTAAAAAATAAATAATAAATAAATAAAGATTATGATATTGTTTGGAACATAATTATAAGGACAATTGTCTTTTCATTTCCATTCTTCTTTGAGTGACTGTGAAGTTAGCCCTAATGTAAGCCTACCCCACTTGAGATCCTATCCAATGACAACAAATAATAGAAGGCCCCTTATTTATCTCCAACAATCATGACATCTTTTTCATTTACTAATTTGTTCACTGAAAAGGAAGTTTGATTAGCCATTGTGACCAATTCCAATGTTGTTTTTTAATCACTTTTTAACAAGGAGTTGTGTTCGAGTGAATGGTGTGTAGAGGATACTTAGACAATACGTTTTTGCACACTCCCAAAGTACATTTTAGATGGAGATTATTACATGTATGTGTCAATGTGTGCGTGTGTGTGCATATAGACTCATGGATTCATGAGTTAAAGTGACATCTTTCAATCTAAAAAAATGCTGACGTGAATATAAAAAAAATAATGATTATTGTCTAAACTACTTTTAAGTGTTACATACATTTTTGTGCATGGAGGACTAAATGTACCACTCTTTTACACATAAATATTATTTTTTGTGCACGCATGTATCATTTAAAAATAAAATAAAAAATAAAAAAAACAAACATGTCTATGTGCACAAATAGTAGTACTTGATGATATGGGCTGCAAAAAAAATAATAATAAATTGGTACCTGAATGCAAAAAAAAAAATAGTATCTCTGTGCACAAAAGTAGTACTTATATACACAAAAATAGTACATAAAAATAGTAAAGATAGTTTGGAAAAATGAATGGTATTTTTCCATGCCTACGTCAACATTTTGATCAACTTTATTTTTTTGAAACATCGTGACTTTTGACTCTACCAAATAGTTAATGTGGGTCGATAGCATTACGTATTTGTAATAATCCCTTTTAGATATTTATGTCTATAGTTTGTGGAATTTTTTTTTTTTTTTTAATCTCATAGACGTAATTAATTGTTAATGGGCACTAATTTAGATGGTATGATTTTTCCTTTTCAAAAAAATATTTGAGATCGTTGGAGCCTTGTTAGAGACAATATTATACGGGGTGTTTGCTTGAATTTTCGAAATGTTGAAAGAAAAAAAAAAGGACATTAATTAGATGAGACTTTGTTTTATATTGAAAATTAACAAATGTAAGAAAAAAAACAAAAATGAGCATACTTTTATATAGAAAATTAATTAGATGAGGCTTTCTTTTATATATTTGAATGTGTATCTCTATTTTTTGAATTTTTTTTTTAAAGTTTGTCTTGAAAATGTGTTTAATTATATTATATATTATGGCTGCATCCATTTTAGCCAACTCAGATATTAGAAGTATAATTCAAGTCACTTGAGAGGGTTGAAAGGTGCCCTAGGGATATAGTGACATTGGTAGGGATTCGGGAGGTAAGTTTTTGAGGTCTTGATTTCGAATCTTATTCTTAACTTAAATGGTACGTCGGGGCAGCTGGAACCTTAGGCGAGTTAGGCGATCGCCTAAGGCCCAAACCAATAAAAAGGCCTCATAATTTTTCATTTCTTTATATATTATAACTCTCTTAAAATAATAATGTTAATTATTAAATATCAACAAATAGATAGATTTGACAATGACGTAAAAGATTTCTATTGTTTATCACATTCTTCTTTCTTTTTTTAGGGCCCCAAAATTTTTTTCCTTAAATATTATAAGTTACCTAAAAATTTTATTTTCTTCTATTATTAAACCTTAATCAATAGAGAAATTTAATATTAGGCCCAAAATATTTCTATATTTATATTACTTTTTCTCTCTCTCTCTCAAAGTTATTACATGAGTGTATACACACACATATACATATATATTACTCTTTCTTATCATTACACCAACTACAAATATTATTCACTGTTGGGACTTGTGAAACTTTCTATATTTTTTTAAGACACCTATTAACTCTTTTTTTTTTTTCTCTGTTTTTTTTTTCTTCTTCCTCACATATTTTTTCTCCTCGCAGTATAATTTTTTTTTTATTTTTTTCATCTTCTCCACTCCTACAATTTACAACCTCACTTCGTCACAAGAATTTGAATGAACTTTTATTCTATTAAAAAAAAATTTAAAGTATTGGACCAAATTCTTCAAAATCAATTTCTATTTTTCTATAACTTCAATTAGTTTATAGTTTTATTAAATTTTGTTATCATAAAATTATTTATTTTGTTTATGAGTTGTCATCATTTTATTTATATTGTTGAATATGTCTTCTAAAAGATACATAGTCAATTAACTAACATAAAGACTAGAGATTGAATTTTTTTTTTTGGACTACGCTTAAAAATTACAAAACAAATAATGAGCATATTACTAACATGAACATATGGGTAGACCCTATTAAAAAACCATTTTATTTTTTTGGGTCTAAAATCTCAAATTATATTGAGCTGCCTTTGGGTGTATGTTGTGAGGCCAATACACATGTTAAAAAAGGTTGAAAGGTCAACCTGAAATTTAACCAAGTTATAAAATCCTCATTTAGGATTCCAATCCGAACATAGTTTTCTGAACTCGGTTTAAATTTGGATAGACTCTGGTCAACACAAACATGTAATTTAGTTTGAGTTGAAACATTAGCGTCTTTCTTTGGTAATAGTTTTTGTTTTGTGTTTTTTTACATCAGATATTGCAGTGTAGCAAAGCAAAACACGGAAGAATGTTTTTAAATATTTTTTGTAATTAAAATAATATCAAAGTAGTGTTTTGAAAAAAGATGTCAAAATAAGAAGCACCAAAATTATGTGTGTATATATATATATATATATATATATATATGTATATGTGTATGTATATGTGCGGTTTTTATCCATTTACCGTGCTTGCAGAAGCTTAGACTCAAATTACGTGGTAGAAGTAGTCGGAGTCTCGTACACGGTGTGAGCAGACTTTGCACGTTGGACTTTGAAGTGTGAGAAGATATATACCTGAGGAGTATCTAAGAAATTGCTTTAAAGTCTTGGCGTGAGAAACCATCTTTGGTATCATTGTTGGAATGTTTATAGGGTGATACATTTCAACTTCAGATGCTATTTACATTTGACTCCACTACAAGGATTGCTATTCAAAGTCAATAAAGAAAATTTTGATCATGTTTCAATTGCATGGGCTCAAAATTTTTTGGAATATTTAAGAATTAGATTAATTCAAAATAAAGCCTGAATAATTTTTTTTTTCCAACTTTTTTCATTCTTTTTTGTTTTTTTAAGTTAACATATGTATTTGGGCATTGCCCTCACTAATTTCAAAAATTCGGCCCAGAGTCAGAAGGTCGCGGAGACATAGACCCGAGGATCAAAATTTTCGTTATACAATGATCAAATTTTGGATTCAAATCGTAACATGGATTTGAATTTTGAAATTTAACAATTTAAATGATTGTGATATACTATTTGAAAATCTAATGAAATATAAAATAAAGTATTAATTTTGTTTTCAAAATTTTACAGAGATTTGACTACAAAGATACAACAATCAACTTCGAAAGACTCCTAAATATATTCAATTGAAACATTTTAAATAAAAAGCACACACTCCTAAATATATTCAATTGAAACATTTTAAATAAAAATCACACACTCCTAAATATATTCAATTGAATCATTTTAAATAAAAATCTCTCCAAAACCATATTCCTATTCTACTCTTTGTTTCACACCAGAGTTATATGTGAACATAATAACATACACACCACCAAAACCACAATACAAACTATACACACTCTTTATTTCACACCAGCATTATATGACTACTTAGTCAAACGCCAAAACCGCAAATCGCGCTTACCCTCGTGCACCTAAAAAAATGATGCCACAGTAAATATACCATACATTAACACAAAAAAATAAAAATAAAAATAAAAATAAATAAATAAATAGCAAAATAAATTATGTAATTGCATTAAATATATTACTCTCTCAAAAAAGGTCCACACAATGTGGACATTTGATCAAAAACAAATATTGAAAAATACTATTTTATAAAATAAAAAAACTAGCCGGTTTTTGCCACTGTCTGTTACAAAATTTGTCGACAAATCGACTAACCAACCGGATTCATAGTGCCGGTATAGAATCAGAGGCAAAATAATGACTGATGTCATCAGAAAAACCCTCATCTACTCGCCACATCGATTCATAGTTTATACTATCACCAAACATTTGTGTGTTGGAATCTCCAAAATCCGTATCAAAAATTGGCTCCGGCGGCTCCGGTAGTAGGAAATCGAAATCAAGAGGATAATCCTCGCCGTATATGGTGTCCAGTGGCAACTCATATTCACCGGAGGCGTAGCTATCATAGGGTGGTAAATAATTAGTTTCTCCATGACACTCCTGAAATTCTTCAACCGGTTCGATCTCTTCAACCGGCCCATATGTTTCCTTAACCGGTTCTTCAACTGGTTGGGTTGCTTTCCCTTCTTTGAAGGGAGAGCCGTTAGGCTGCTCTGCTTCTTCTTCACTAGATTTAGTTCTATAACGAAGAACCGAAGTCGGAGACGATAAATTATTCGACTCCTCACCGGATTCATAGCCGCCGGAAACCGACGCCACATTAACCTCAACCTCCACCTTTTCCGGTTCCTCCACCGGAGGAGTGACGAAGTTCGTCAAAGCATCCGGTCCCCGGAGCTTAATAGCCGCGTTATCATAAACCATCGCGGCCTCCTCCGCCGTGTCATACGTCCCCAACCACAGCCGCACACGCCGCGTCGGGTCTCTGATCTCCGCCGCCCACTTCCCCCACGGCCGTTGCCGCACCCCGCGAAACTTCTTGACGTTTCCGGCGGCCGTCGCATTACCCGCCCTCGACGGTTTCCGGTTCGCCTCTCCGGCGGTCGAGAGCGCTCTCTTCTTTCCATTACTGGCCACCACACTGCTCTTACAAGCAGTCTCGATACTAATCTCGTCGATGTACCTCTTCACACGCTGTCGATGGAAAAGCAGATCCTCTTCGTCACTCGAGGAGTCCGTGGCGTCAGGATCAGTGACAGAGACCCGCACAACTCTCTGCACGCCCTCCGGTAGTACTCTCCGGCCATCGGAAATCTTTTTCGGCTTTATAGTCGAGGGCTTAGCGAGCTTCTTCGTCACGTTCCGGTGCTCGGTGTATTTGATCGGACATAACAAATTGTGATCCATTCTGTTTATCAGATTCGCATTGATAGCCGAGAGACCACTTCAATGTGATGAGCGTGGATTGGTAAAGTATGAGTTTCAAGATTTGTAACTAATAAAGTTAAAGAGTCGTCAAAGAGAAGGTTACCCAAACCCACGCGCAGATTCAGAAAATCTGACAGAAAAAACACATTAAAAGGTGGGTTTTGGAGAAAGAAAGCGACAGCCTTATACCACGAAACAATATCGGATTTGCAGATTAAAGGAGTGAACTTTTAACAAAGGTAGAAAATAAAAGGTGCGGACTGAAAAACAGGACAGAGGCTCACATACTTTAAAGGGTCGTGTGGTTTGAAAGAAGAAAGAAACCAAATCAATCGGAAAAGGAAAGCGAATAAGTATCTCGATTTGGTGTAGTCCTGTGAATTTTCTGGGAAAATTTCAAGATGGTAAAAGTAGAGAGAGAGAGAATGGAAGGAGAGAGAATGGGGGCAGAGTGAGTAAGTTTCAGTTGCGGTGGAGACCAACACTGAAATCGCTGTTTTATAGGATCCAACAGCCGAAATTGGTAAGCCCGAAATAAAATACTAAGGAAACCCATTTATTATTAATTAATATTATATTTTTTTGAAAAAATATAGTACTCCGTATATATTTGTGATTCTATAAATATCTATATATGGGATGGTGTTTTTAGGAGGGAAAAGTGATATTAGTCACCGGTGGGTGGAAGATCTCCGGCGACGACAGAGACAACTCACGGCTCGCCGCATTTTGGACACTGCGTGATGTTGACACGTGGCTTTTTGTGGGCCCGGGTAAAGGAGTTGGTCCAATGAATGAACATCAAGTGGTGCTGACTGAGCATCTTGGAATTCGTGTGGCCGGTCACGTGAGGCCCAGGATGCTCGGCTCCATTAAAGTATGTCGGTCAAATTAAAAGGGATTAACACCACCTCACAACTTTGACCAATTATAAAAGAGGTTAATCTCCGTCCATCTCACCTTTTTTGGTAAATTTCAAACCTCCAACGTTTGATTAGCTGTTAATCATTAAGTTAATTCCTTAAGGGTATTTTAGTCATATTACTCCTAATAATTTTGATAATCTGTTTTTATTTTTTTACCGAAAAGGTTAAATTTACAAGGGTATTTTGGTCATATTACTTCTCGATTAATCGTGAAATTTTTTTTTTTTTTTTGACCTTTTAAATTGGTTGTATTTGTTTTTAGTTTTTATCTTATTATAATTACTTTTTACAGCTAGGAATAACGTGGCGGGCAACCTAGAACTCGCCGCCAATTATAATTCGGTTTTGTACGACTCTGAGTTGTATACCCTGTTTCATAATTCCTACTATCGAGACATTGCTCATACCACGTCAAATTACAATCCTTGTACGACACGCTCTAATTTGAGCGATTATTTATCGGCGCGTTTATGAAACGCATACTATGGAGCGTGTCTTTTAGTTTTGTAGTCTGCACCAATTTACCCAATTGTCTGCCCTATTCTCCAGTAAAATCGTTATTAACAGCGATCTGTTACCGCAACGTGGCTTATCATGAATGGTCCACACACTTCACGACTTCATGAGTTGGTCTACTACGTTCTGTAATCCTTGTGACCACTTGTAGGACTTGAATTTTATTCCCATAATTAAGAAATTTTAAAATGTTGATAACAACAATTTTATACAAATATTTATTGGGATTTATTTGCTAATTCAATTGCTTACCAAAACCATTACACTGACAAGTGTGTGTATTATATATATATGTATAGTAGCTTTTGCTTATTCTCCAAGGAAATTGTTTTTGTTCTCCCTCCATTTTTTAGTTTTTTTTTTAAATGCAATTTTTTTATTTGAATTCTTGAAAACACGTTCAAATTTGAATGTGTCCCCAAACACTTAGATATAAATTATCCCAAGATTATAAAAACAATTTTAACTAATTCAACCATTAAAAAAAAGTGATATAATCTAACTTGAAGTAATGGGCAATAATTGACTAATTTTTTCCTCTACAATTTCTTTAATCATTGGATTTCAAAGTGAAATAATTCTAAAACTTATAGTCACTAATTTATGTTTGCCTCACTTTAAAGGGATATTAAATTATAAGACCTGCATTCTTAAAGTTGTAATTTTATTGTTATAATGAGAAATAACTCTATAATTAAAATATATAAATAAAAACCGACAACTAATTGCTGACTACTCAGCGGATGTGGCCGAGAATTTAAAAACTAAACGGCTGAGGTGGGCCTGAGGTGGGTCTCATAACATTTCATAGAGTAATCAACTGTCCGTCTCAGATTGCGGTATCAAAGCTACGAGGACTTTTTGAATTCTCTAAATTAAATATTTTTTAAATTTTTCTAAGTTGAATTCAGTTATAAGTGACTTTTAAAGTGCTAGTGTTTAATTAAATTAACTAATTTAAAAAAAGTTTAAAAACTACACCGTTTAAGATAAAAGAAAAATTTACCAAATTTTAAAAACTGCACCCCTTAAATTAAGGAAAAATTTAAGTTTAAAAATTACACCGCTTTAACATAAAAGAAAAATTTACCAAACTTTAAAAATTGCACCATTTGAATTAAGGAAAATTCACAATACTCTAATAACTTCGTTATCTCTCCCTCATCTTTTTTTAAAAAAAAAATTAAAAAAAATTCCATCCCTTTCTCCTTTTTTTTCCTATTTAAAACAAGTTATGTGATCTCAGTTTATCTTTTAACTTGACTGACTTTCTCTCTCATCTTTTTTATATATAGGGCTTTAGGGCTTTTTTGGTTGTATATCCATGCTTGTATTTCTTTTCCAATCATTACCATTGCCCGTAAAAGTTGCATGTCTGGATATTCCTCCAATGTGGGAATGAGCAAGAGCAGAGAGGGGTGATTCTTTTTTTTTTAGGAAAGATGAGGGAGAGATAACGATGTTAAATTATTAGAATATGGTGATTTTTTCTTAATTCAAAAGGGTGCAGTTTTTAAATTTTGGTAAATTTTTCTTATCTCAAAACCGTGCATTTCAAACTTCCTTTAAATTAGTTGACATGATTTAACAACAGCAATAAATACATTTTAAATATGTGTTAATCTGTAACAATTTCAACTTAAGATAACGTAAACAATATTTAACTTAGAAGATTCAAGTCCAATGAATTAACAACAAAATATTCATATTCATTGAAAATATAAATTTAAATTATGTTTAAAAATAAATAACATAATTAGGGTTATATACGTACCAACATTAGAATCATGGATATTTTAGTAATATACACTCAAATGAAGTTTTTATTTAAGCTAATGGAGCCTGATCCATTTTGATGAGTAACTTGGTCCCCAAGCGATAAGCAAACATTCCTCAAACGACGCATAAAAAAAAAAAAATAAATAAATAACGCCACTATGTTTCTTTCACCCCAAGATTTTCCTCAAATGACCCTGCTATTTCAAATTAATCACAAAATTAACACTCCTAATAAAAATTGAAAATTTTGTGACCCACACAACTTCACAACTCTTGTGCAATTAAATTGTGTTTGTTTGTCAGTCAATGATTGGTTGTTAGGCTCTCACTTATCAGGAGTTAAGTTCAGTTTGTATTTGCCGTATATGGCCTCCTGTTTTGGCTTATTTATGATATGTTTGTGTGCAGATTGTGCGTGGTTAGGGTTGTGTAGGCCATCGTCACCCAAACAGGTCAATAGATAGATACAATTTGAATATGCAGACACACCCAACCCAAAGTTCGTACTAATTGTCACGCGTAACATGTTCGCAGGTAAGCTCTCAAGGACATTTGGACCTAAATATTTGCAGAAGTGTGGTCACGTGATTTTGTGAAGCACTATGGTGAGTCACATCACATGCCAAAATCATGTAGTTACTTTTCAAACAAACTTTTCACTTATATTAAATTATATAAAATAAAAAAAATTTGATCAATATTTTTAAAAAAAAAAAAAAAAATTTCAAATTTTAAGTGACCAATTTGAGATTTTTTTGAAATTCTCAAATTATCATTTAAAGTTTAAATGCATGTCTGAAATGATCTCTTACTTTCTAATGAATAAGAATTTTTTTTACATAACAGTTGAGTATGATTAATATATATTTTTTGATATTTGCCTTTTTAATACTTGATCGTATTCAACAGTCACTATGTTTTGACGTGAAAAAAGTTTAATGAGCAGTAGATCATTATCCTATATATATTGTCAATATATTTTTTAAAATATATTTATAAAGGGCATTTATGAAAAAATTCATTTACCCTTTGTCAAAAAGTATTTTGGACAAATACAGGAATACGCGGCAATAAAAATATATATATTTTAGGTTAGAGTGAATTGCGGCTTAGAAGTTTTGATTGGTCGTTGTAGACACTAAAATTTAGTGGGCTTTGGTTTTAACGAATGGACCCATTAAATATAGGCCTAATGTTTAAATAAATTATTTAATTTATCAGGCTTGGTCCACTTAAATTATTTAATTAGCCCAGCCCAGATAATTAAATGAAACGATAATTATTCCTAATAAAATATATTTTGAATAATTATCTTTAAGGATAATTATCATAATATAACCGGCCCGGCCCAGTTATAGTTTTATCCTTATCAGGAAATGACACGTGTCATCATCCTATTAATCCAAGAAGCCTATAAATAGAGGACTGGAGGAAGAAAAAGGGAGAGGATTCAGAATTCAGAAGTTTACAAATTCAGACACAAATTCAGAATTCAGAAGTTCAGAGACTCAGAAATCCAGAGACTCAGAATTCAGATACAAATTCAGAATCGAAACCCAAAAGCGAAGAACATCAAGCACATCCAACAACGTGCCGTTCTTCATCAAATTCTACAGTGATTCAAGAACAAGCTCGTGCAGCCCTTGGATCCAACCAACCAAAAACAAGGAGATCGAATCAGAGGACCATTCTTTTTTTGTAAAAGATATTACAAAGGACTGTACTCCACCATTCATAAATAAATAAAATTCTATTTTGCTCCATATTTTGTTTCTATTGCAGACTTACAAAATTTGTGTGTACAAATTTGTGGCACGCCCGGTGGGACTACCTTTGCCTCTCCTCTCTTTCTCCTACCATCAAGTTTCTTCTCTATCAGATTCTATGGCTCCCCCTAAGATTCATACAGACAAGAAAGCCCAAAAGAACATCGCTATTGCAAAGGTTGACGCTAAAGCCACCATGAAAAGTGGCATGAAGACCAAATTAAGCGATGGAAGTACCGTGACGGGCCCTGTGACACGTAGCAAGTCCCAGGCGATGGCGTCATTCAAACTTCAGCAAGATGTGGTGAAAACTAATCCTGCAACACCGGCGAACGTGAAAACTCAACATGTCAAAAACCTTGACATTGTTCCAGATTCACTTCGTTCTATCTATGACGCTCACTCTAGTGTCGGTTCACCCCCAGAGTCACCACGTCAGACTTCAGAGCAATCAATCACTTCAAGGAACGTGGATTCTCAAGGCCTATCATACTTAG